CTGGATTAAAGTTAAAATGCTGACTAACTATTAATAAGATTAATAATAATCTGCACAAAACGTAATAGGTAACAGCCTCCTACTAGTACTACTACCGACTAGGAATGTTGAGCAGAGATTCAGGGTAAGCAAGCACACAAACACATGACTGCCGAGGCCTAGCACTACATAATGTTGACAGAACTGAATGAAAACAACCGTGGCGAAGTAACCACCAGTTAAGGCTACATCCAACAACACACTGTCACGTAGTCGGGCTTTACCTGCTTGACAAGAACAAGATCGCGCTAGCCTGGCCTCATGTCACACCCTGACGCATCCAAGGAATTCGAGTATGTCCCCCCGGTTGGGTCGTAAAGGACATGACTATTTACAGGAGAGGGACAACTATTGCGTCTGCTGCGTTTTCTAGGCCAGAGCATGTGCCTTCTCTGCCCCTGTTTTCCCAACATGAAACCTTTGATCTCGGGGCCAGTAACTTTCCCCTACGGCTGCTGGGTCTGCTTGGAGGGTGTGTAGTGTGTAGGTAGATGGAGGGAGACGTGTCGGGAATGTTTAACTCTGCTGTTAGATACTTTGGCACAGTCCATACAAAAAAATAGAAGTTTAACTAGGCACTCTTCTCAATTCCTGTCCCAAATTATAGGGACAGGTATTCCGAAGAGTGCCTCAAATTAAAATGTTCCCCTTATCAGGTTTAGGGTTCAGGGTTTTCTAAAGGAACGACTTAACAAGTTCATTATATGTAGTGTGAAATATTAACTAGTTTCAAATCACTAATTATAAAAAATATACCAACCCCTACACACAGGCGCGCGCATCCTCAAGCAGTGTGAGAGCTGTATACTTGGGCTCCAAATTAGACAAGAGCATGATATGGACGCCTCGCAAAGAATAAAAAGGCTAAAACGCGAAGCAAACATGCCACAGCAAGGAAAATTGTATCAAGTTTTATCACTTATCGCGATTTTAAAGAAAGCTGAGATCACTGCAAGAAGGAAAATCTAAACAATAACTGTTTAGAGCAGGTGATGGGTTTACACCTGGTATAATTGTGCAATAATATTTGTATCATTATTATTATTGCACAATTAAACCAGGCTTAAACACATGGAAGCCCTCTCCCCCATTCCTAGAAAATTTGTGGGGGGGGGGGGGGGCCTAAAAGGACTTAGGTATATTATTATATTTATTTGTCACTGAATATAGTAATATTATTAAAATACGAAATAACAAACAAACATAAAACTAGACTTGAAATAATATCAAATTTTAATCACTTTTAAAGAGAATTTGTATAAATGGTTAAATGAGGCCTCTTAATCTCCTCACAAAATTATTTGGGGGTGGGAGGAAGACAAGATGGATGCCAAACCAATCAGATGCTACAGTAGGACCTTCATCCCCATACAAAGACACAGGACAAGACAATAAAATTATATTTAGGATGCTAGCAACAGCATTGATAACAAATCAGAGCTTATAAGTAAAAGCTGTTGTTGGTGAATAAATTTATACAGCCTTATAACAGCAACTTTGATCCCAGCTGCAGGCCATGCGCCTTGCGTTAGTTTCGACAGTGGTATCAAGAAACTCGACAGTCCAGAAAGCAATGGCAAACTACTGGACGTAAATTTGCCTAGAAAAACCACACAGCAGCCAGGGACTGTTGGGGTTGGTTCTGCAACGTCTTGTAAAGGATACGCAACTAACCTAAATAACCACACCATCAAAACCTTATATCAGAGTCTCCCTAACAATCATTTGCTCAGTACAAGAGTTATATGCTGCTCTTCAAAAATGCTCATGTTGGTTAATAGACAGATTATCATCATCGCACATTGAACCATTTAGTACATAAATGTTCAGATTCCCTCTTTAGTATCTCCCTCAGCGTATTGTGGCTTATGACACCAGTTTGTGTTGGTTCACTATTCTTCTTTGGGCCCCTTTGTAGCAGATTCATAATCATTATTTGTTCTGTTTAATTGAGCCTCCTCACTGAGGGCATTCAGTATATCAGCCATGTCCTTTGCTAGTCCGTTTCCCACGTAAGCATCAGTATTATTATACCATCACTTGCTAGTCTGTCAGCTCATTCACTGCCCTTTACACCAGAATGCCCTGGAACAAATAATGAAACTGATTTTTGTCAGCCCAGATCTATTCAGGGACTCCACCTATTGTCTTCATTTGCAACCCTTCTCAATCTTCTTGAGAATATTCATTGAGTCGCTGAGAAAGCATGCCAGGGGGAAAGTGTCTTTCTAGCCAGGTTATTGCTTTAGTTGCTGCCGTGAGCTCCACAGTCGAAAATGCTTGTCATCAAGGCATAGGCACTGCAGTCTTGTTTGACAGTTCTCCCTCCGACCTGAACTGTAAATACCCACAAGCTTCTGACATTTAGAATGACAGACCAGTCTGTGTAGATGATCACATCGCTCTCAATAGAATTCTCACATATCAAGGCCTTGACTTCTGCTTCCACAACTACTGGGTTTTGTTGTCTGCATTCTTTGTTCAGCTTGATGCATACTTCAAAGGATGTATGACACTCCGGTCGTACACGTACCCATTCCTCCCCATGTTCTATGTTCTCAAATGGACAAACCTCTTGTATTTTGTCCTCGGTCTGACCCATCCATGATTTTCTTCTCTTTAATCCGCTGCCTTTTCTTTTCCTGCTCATGTGTCATTGATTACTTCAACACTGTCTATTCCAAAATTTATGATTTTTCAGTGCCAGTGGGTGCATGTAACGGCTGTAATCAAAGCTGACACTTTCATTGGCAAAGAAAAGTGGACATTATTTTACCTTTCATTATTAATATTAGGAAAGACGCCTTGGCCGAGCGGCTAGATGCCGCGGATCAGAATTTTGTTGGTTCTCTCCCTGACGGAGCCAGACTTTTTTTCAAAAATGACCTTGGCTCCCAGGTCGACCCAGCCTTGAGTGGGTACCGAGTGCAGTCCCGGAAAGTAAAGGTGGTCATCGTGATGCTGACCACATCACCCATCTTCTGCTGATTGGTCTTTAAAAATTTAGGTCTAGCCCTATATGCCCTTAATGCCTAATGGCGTGGAGAGGGTCCTTTACTTTTTACTTACTTATTTAATGTAAATACACAACTCCATTTAAATCTCAAACATAGTGAAAAGAACACTGGCTGCATGATTACGTCACTCATGCAGAACTTAAATATGTTAATGCTACCAGTACCAGTACTACGATACCAGCTGCACACGCATACTCTCAACAGCAAAGCAGTGAATAAAATGGCATGTCATAATCTCTCCAATGTAGTCATTACCCCATAATACTAACACATGTGAACTGATCACGTCTCGTCACTAGTGACATTAGATGGAGATCTTCGAGTTCTAATGTATTTAACTAACCTATTTATAGGAAAGAAGCAGTTAAACAAATAACTAGAATAGAATGATATATCATCAAAGAAAAACTGGAAGAAGGAACTACTGTCTTCAGTAAATATAATGTCAGTTTCCTGATACTGAAAGAAATAAAAAATGCAGTGATCTGGCTAGATACAAAGTTTGTCCTGCATGATTTCTGATTCCACAAACATGCTTAAGACAATTGAGACAGGATGAGTTCGAAGAGTCTCTGATGAAAAAAAATTTGAGAGAAATCAGATTCATTTCAGTGCCAGAACCCTTAGGAGTAAGAGGGAATGAATGAGCAGATTGGCTTGCTTACAGGACCATGGTAGGCACAGGAAAATCAATGGACTGGGGGGTTTCCAGTGCTCTCAAGGAGGCAGGGTGAAAAGGTGATTCAGTAGGCCTCGGTGAATCTGCAGCCTTGCCAAGACTACAAAACTGCACATCAAGATAGTAGTTGCCAGACATGAACACTATACAGGTAGCCAAAGAAGAATAGTAAACCAGTACAGCACTGGTGTTATCAGTTACAACACTCAGAGAAAGATAATGAAAATGGGATCTATGCGCTTATGGACTTGTCCAATGTGCGAGAGGATGATGGATTGATTAACTTACTAAACTAACTAACAAAAATAGTTATAACCCAGAGATCTGTGGATTCAAATATAAACTGACAAATCTGCAGTAGAAGACTGAAGAATGGCTGTTGAATAGTGTATAATTTATCCCTGGGTGTTTATATAAATTGAGTTCTACCATTTGTATTCAGTTTTTGTTGTTGCTGAAGTGTGTGTATGGTTCGGGGGAAGGAGGTGTGGGGGAAGGGGAGGGGACATTTATTTGCAAAGACTCATTGACATCAGTGAATAATTATTTAAAAAATGCCTACATGAAAAAAGTAGGCTTTTTGAATTATTTATCTATATCTATGTTAAATAAATGTACACAAAAATGAAAATCAACAAAGAACAAAAAACAAATTTTTTGTGTTAAATTTGTACAATTATATACGCCCAATATGCCTAAAGGCAAGGAAAAGAGTGCTTTATTTTTTTTTTTTTTTTTGCACAATTAAACAAGACTCAAACACCTAGAGGCCGCCTTGCTCGAAACAGATAAATAGAGATAGACGGATAGGATGGTTGGATGGATTATTATTATTGGGGGGGGGGGGGGGGGGGGGCTAAAGAGGCTTTAGATTTGTTTAACTGTGCAATAATAATCAGAATTCTGAACAGCAAATTTTAAAAAAAAATTTGCTTTGAAATAATATGAAATGCTTAAACAAATGTTTAAAAAGTTAACATCTATGTATTGTAGGGGCATGTTGGGGGCGGCTCCTAAAAAGTTATTCAGGTTGGGAAGGGATGAGGTGGCATTAAAACAAATGTGAGGTTAAGGAGGCAGGTTTTAGCATGAAGTATAATGTTACATATATTTATCACTCAACACATTATTATAATTATTATTATTATTATTATTATTATTATTATTATTATTATGTTGAATGTCAAATAAATAGATTGCAATACTTGAAATAGTATAAAATTGGGTGGTGGGGGGGTGCCTTTAAGTTGGACAACAAAACTTACCTGTTTATCGTCATGTTCTTGTTCCATTTCCATCAGCTGAAATTCTAAGTCTTCGCACCGTTCTAAAGCTTTATTCAGTTCATGCTGAACACGCCTGCCTTCCTTCTCCCAGAACTGTGCCTGGTAAAATAACACAATATCACTAATATATTCATCTTGAAAATAAGTTCTAAAACAGACTTGTTTCAAAGTGGAATTAATCTCTTGGCAGATACTACCATAAAAGTGCTTACATTTTTACACCTTTGAGTAATCACTTAATAAGAAAAAAGAAAAAATCATTCTTTGTCACCCTGGAGTTAACTTTACCTGTTTATACTGGCCAGACAGCTGTTTGCACAACACTATGAGCATGAATCATTCAGTGCAATAACTAAACTGGTGAATGTGAGATTGACTAGAACAACTACAACCAGCCAATAAATGCTTGGGATGGTTTGCTTCATTCTGTAAAGGATTAACTTATGCTGATTAGACATGCAACTTTCCTGTCATTGTTGTCAACTGAACCTCAAAGCATTTGCTGATAGTCCTGTCAGTGAGCATACAGGAGTCGCTGGCTTGCACCCTTATCGGTAGCCATATATTTCAATTCCATTTGAGGAAGGAATTGTTTTTAGTATCCTTGGCTACTAGGAATACTAGCTGAAGGTTATAATTTAAACAGTCTTTGTAATGCAGATGATACAGTATTAATACTTGAAAATGCAGAAGACCTACAACTTATAGACATTGTGGTAATAGAGAGTGTGAAAAGGGGAATTTCCTTGAATGCCAAGAAAACAGAAACAATAGTTTTATCAAAGAAGAAGATAACTCCAAAATTTGACTCAGCAACAGAAGGGAAAGTGTTTAACGAAGTCAATAAATTCAAGTATTTAGGGACGTTCATAACATCAGATGGTCGATGTGTGACAGAAATTAGAGCAGAATTGGTCAGGCAAAGGCAGCATTTCAGAAGATAAAAAGTATCTTATGTAATAAATCTCTCTCATTAAACATCAAGAAACGAGTACTGAAATGTTACATCAAGCCTGTTCTGTTATATGACAGTGAATCTTAGAATGTGAGCAAACAAATTAAGAAGCATTTGGAGGCAACTGAGATGCGATTCTTGATAAGAATTGTTGTGAATACCTTGGACTGCCAGAATAATTAACAATGATTGCCTGGAAATGGCTAATGAAAGTAGAACATTATATACAACAATGAGGAGGCAAAGTTCTTTGGATATGTAATGAGAAAAGGAGCACTGGAAAATATCGTGACGACTAAAAGGATCACTGGTAGAAGAGGTAGACAGACCAAGCGAAAAGTGGGGACTTTTCCATGAAATTGAATGACTTAAGTTAGTGGCATGGAGCAATATCATCACTTGATTTGATCCAAAACACCAAAGACTGAGATCTGGGGAGATGCATGAACGCCTGTGCGAGCTGGCAAGGCACTTAATGATGATGATAATTAGGTTGACCCAGCTTTAAATCAGAACCAGGGAGTTTAAGGTGGGCCAGCAGGGTATTGACAAATCACCTATCGATACTGATTGATCTAAATAAAAGTTAAAGTTTCAAGGATGGATTCAACTGGCTCAGCTAATTCCATACAGCTCAGTCTCTCTCCACAGAATGGCTAGCTACCTGCTAAGAGTGTCGCAACAAAGCATGAACCAGTAGCTCTGGTGACTAATCTCCATAAAAACCGAACTTGTGATCTGAATTAAGTGTCCGTGAAACAAAACTAACCCATGACCTTTAGAACATGAGGTAAATGGCTTGACCTCTTTGCCATAGGAACTAAATAAAAGGGGCTAGTACCATATACTCATGAGAGCCAAGATGGTGAAGTGGAGTCACCCCCTATCTGTTGGTCCTATTTTCTTGTGTTTGAATGAAACTCCTACAGGGAATATTTTTAAACTTTACATGGGCTCCCATTCTGACTAAACATAAAATTCTTCTTCTTCAGCATTCCGAGCCCTTGAGGTTCATTGCTGCATATATCACCCGCTTCTATTAATCTCTCTGGTTGGCCTTCTCTTTCCAGCTGGAACAATCAAGTGTTTGTAGGTCTGTCTAGATATTATCTCTTCATCGACTTCTTGGTCTGCCTCATGGTTACGACCATTCAGCTCCTTGTGTATATATTTTTTACCTCTCTGTCATCTGACATTCTCTCAAAATACCCCAGCCATTCAGTCTATTAGCTCTCATGATGCCAATCCTAAAACTTATATCAGGAAATGTTCTGAAAAGTAAATGTCACTGGGGTGATTGAGTGCCAGTTGGTCAGTAAAGTTATGGCTATACTCTTATAATCAAACACCTCCTTTACTTTTTTTTTAAACCCCACTCTATACCCAAGTTTCTTTATTACACCCAAAAAAAACTATAATTTTTTTTAAAGTGTATGCACACCAGCTACTAGACTAAACACACTGAAAGTATCATCCTGTGTTGATCAGGAAGTGGTTAATTCAAAGACTGAAGAAATGGTTTATCTTTAACTGATTGGATTGTTAGGATGCTGTGACTTCAATGGTGCAGTTTAATCCAGATAATGGAAAGGCTTTGATGCAGTCTCAAAATAAATCCTCACTTTGCTGTGAGTTGGGGAAAGATAAAGTTGTTACGAAAGTAGCAAAAAACTATTACCTAATATATCTGGAAGCCTTTGTATTTTATAACTACAACTAGACTACTGTTTTCTTTGCTTATTGATTAAAGAAAGCACAGGTAATGGTTTCAGGCAGAGCTTTTTTTTTTAAATGAAAAAAGGTGCTGGCACTCGCCATAAAGTGTCTAAATGGCTCAGTTTCTCTCCCCAGAAAAGCTAACTGCTTGCCGAGAGCGTTGCACAGTCATGATCTCCGTAGCTCCAGCAATGATCCCCATGGATCTCCATACCGTAAAAACTGCACTCGATAATGTTGATGATGGATGATATTGATCTTTTCTGATTTGTATATGAAGGCTTTTTATTTTAGGTAGATTTTTTTTTTTTTAGTTTTATTATGTGTTGTTGCACCCAAATGATAATTTAAATAGATCAAAGGAAAATGTATATAAAATAAATGCAAGACAAATTTCTTTAAAACACATTTTATTACAGAATTTCTAGATTTCCTGAGCATTCTGTTTTCAGGCAGCCTGAAGCTGTGCAGCATATGTATTTATTTTAAAAGCATATTTGACCGTATCAGGCGCATGAAACAAATATTTTATCGGAATAGGACTTCAACAAACTTTCCTCCACCAAAACTGAGGGTGGATGCTATGAACTTAAGACTGCTGCTTTTATCTGAGTCATTAATGTGAAGGTCTCAATGGAACAAGGAAGAAGACAACAGTGTAATGAAATTGTTAGTATTTTTATCTGTCAAGACAGTTAGTGTACATTTGCAATATTGTGTGTATATATGTGTGTGTGTCTTTACTGCCCATGTTTACTACTTTTAAGGTAATGTAAGACAGGAAGACCATAAGCCTGACAATTGTAGGATCCTGCAAAGTTTGCACTTTTCAGCCTAACACAGTACATCTGATTTCATCAAGACATTCATGTTACAACATATTTGTTAAAAGGCAATAGCTATATCTCCCTCCTCCCCTCCCTCCTGGTCAACCTCCTAAGAAATTATGAATGAAGCACCAGTAATGGCCGGACAAGTACATATAAGGTGTTTCCTGCAATCCTGTGTAGGGGCTAAATTGGTTTCTAAACAGTGTTTACTTAAGAGACCACAGCAAGTTGTGTATAACCAAGGGACAAAATTCAGTAACCTCTTTATAGCAATGATAACACAGGTAAACATTCATTTCAAGAATAGTATGAGTACCATAGTATTAGAAAGCAATGGCAAACTACTGATTTCAAAAAGCTTAGTCAAACCACTATGGAAAAATGAGTAGTAATTGCTTTACCCCACCAGGACATCAAACCAACCGATAAACACACAGTGACACAAGGTGCCACCATTCAGAGGAGGATCACCGTGGAGAAGTCTCAGAAACACTTTTCAGCCCATAGGATGAGTTATATTAGGGCCCCCAGCAACAACCAGGGTGAGGCTTCAGAATAAGGAGAAATTCCATCACACATATGGACACAAAATTATGGGGAGAAATGAGGGTTGATTTCCAATGTCCTGTAAAAACAAAAAAATATGGAATTAACCTACTAAATTTAATTAAATAAAGTGGTTAAAATAGAATTTTAAAATAATAGGTTTCAAACTGTAATTTTAAACATAGATTTTTGGACTCATTTGTTGCAAATGCTCAAATGTAACATGCTGACCCAAATGAATATGAATGTCAGAATATGTAAGGTCACTAACCTTTTCTAAATATTCTTTATTATGTGCAATGATTGTTTCCCTTTCCTTCAGAAGATTGATCACCTCACCCTGTACACAAGAAACAAGAAACATTTTATACTAATGTGCAAATAAATATTATTCTGATTGTTATAAACAGCTTGAATAAAAATCCACAGTGCACACAGATGTGAAATTAACTTGCAAATTCAACATATTCATTTATGAACTATTGAAGCTTTTGCAAGAGGTCAGTCTTCATTTTCGTAAACAAAGAATGTAAAAAAAATAATGGGTTGATTATTGAGTTGAGAACCCTCATCACAACATGCCTGGCATATGCACAGATGCTTCGCAATCAGATGTTTTAAGGTGTAGATGCTGACTGTTCCACTAGGATCTGGTTGTACTCTTCATCTTGTATGTTCTTTCTTGCTGAATTCACACTTAATTCCAAATTCACACAACCTTACAATGTTGTTTAATCAAATACAATATCTTTCATCAGGGTTCATTCATAAAAGGTTTTTAGAATGTCTCTTGGATCAAGTACAAAATTACAATAGGAAGAGTAGTAATTTAATTTTCTCTCTTTCTCTCTGTCTCTCTCTGTTTGTGTGTGTGCGTGAGTGTGCGTATGCATGTGCGCACATATGTGTGCATGTGTTTTTAATTGTATAATACTATATACATGTACTATGGGACCAGAAATTTGGAAACGAAAATTTAATAAGAAATCCTTATTATATACAGTTTGGTAAATAAATCAAAGCACGCATGTGATTAATTTCAACTCACCTCT